AGTCTTTACTATCCTACTGCTCCTGAATAGTTGATCTAAAGTCTTTACTATCCTACTGATCCTGAATAGTTGATCTAGTCTTTACTATCCTACTGCTCCTGTATAGTTGATCTAGTCTTTACTATCCTACTGCTCCTGAATAGTTGATCTAGTCCTTACTATCCTTCTGCTCCTGAATAGTTGATCTAGTCCTTACTATACTACTGCTCCTGAATAGTTGATCTAAAGTCTTTACTATCCGACTGCTCCTGAATAGTTGATCTGAAGTCTTTACTATCCTACTGCTCCTGAATAGTTGATCTAGTCCTTACAATCCTACTGATCCTGAATAGTTGATCTAGTCTCTACTATCCTACTGCTCCTGTATAGTTGATCTAGCCTTTACTATCCTACTGCTCCTGAATAGTTTATCTAAAGTCTTTACTATCCTACTGCTCCAGAATAGTTGATCTATAGTCTTTACTATCCTACTGCTCATAAATAGTTGATCTAAAGTCTTTACTATCCTTCTGCTCCTGAATAGTTGATCTAAATTCTTTACTATCCTACTTATCCTGAATAGTTGATCTAAAGTCTTTGCTATCCTACTGATCCTGAATAGTTGATCTAGTCTCTACTATCCTACTGCTCCTGTATAGTTGATCTAGCCTTTACTATCCTACTGCTCCTGAATAGTTGATCTATAGTCTTTACTATCCTACTGCTCATAAATAGTTGATCTAAAGTCTTTACTATCCTACTGTTCCTGAATAGTTGATCTAAAGTCTTTACTATCCTACTGCTCCAGAATAGTTGATCTATAGTCTTTACTATCCTACTGCTCATAAATAGTTGATCTAAAGTCTTTACTATCCTACTGGTCCTGAATAGTTGATCTAGTATTTACTATCCTACTGCTCCTGAATAGTTGATCTGAAGTCTTTACTATCCTACTGTTCCTGAATAGTTGATCTAAAGTCTTTACTATCCTACTGTTCCTGAATAGTTGATCTAAAGTCTTTACTATCCTACTGTTCCTGAATAGTTGATCTAAAGTCTTTACTATCCTACTGCTCCTGAATAGTTGATCTATAGTCTTTACTATCCTACTGCTCATAAATAGTTGATCTAAAGTCTTTACTATCCTACTGCTCCTGAATAGTTAATCATAATTTAAATAAATCTACTCTTAAGCATCAGCAGAACAACGGAATCAGATGGGATATATGGGAAATATTTACAATACGTGTATTATTTTTAATGAGAATTGATATTTCAATGATTTCTTCAATATCCCGGTGAGCCATACAGGCCATGTTTGCCTCTTGTTTTGTTTCTGATTTTAATCACTTATAATGATTAACTTCCTTACTGTACATGGTGATGTAGTTTGGCTGTATTTGTTTATAGGTGTCGGCCTGGGGAGGCTATGTATTCATCATCAACCTAATCCCACTCCATGTATTCGTCCTCCTACTGATGGGTCGATACTCACGGCGTATTTTCATAGGTTTGTATTCCACACCACACTATCTGAACAAATCTTTACTATATAAAGAAATATCTACTTTGGTACTGTGAGAGAAAAAATATATCAGTTGTTTTAAAGTTCAAATATTTTTTTCAGTGTTGCACAAGTACCAACTTAACCAAAATTTGTTGTTGCAATTTATTTTTTGCTCTTTTTGCCTTCTAATCAGAAACTAAATTATCATGATGTTGAAACTTTCTTCCATGAAGAACATAGAAGGCCTCTCTGTCAATAAACTGACAATAGACATGGTAATAATTTCCTGTTAAACAGTAAATACATCTGAAAGAAAAAAGTCAGTACATGTAGTATTTAATTTAAACAAAGAATGTGACATGGATAGGATATACGATAAATATATTTTCCTTAATAGAACAGGGGTTTGGCATTACTGAACACTTCAAGGGGAAAACCCCCAGCTGAAAAGTGTGTATTTACCGGCTCAGACGTGTATGATAACATATCTTAACTCTAAGACACTTGTGACATTTACAGAAGATTTCTACCAGTATCGGATGTGAATGGGAGGGAGATATGTAACGTAATTTAAAAGTGCGTTCTATGACTTTATGTGGAGGTAGTTACTGAACCCGTCGGTGATTAATGAACACCATGGAGGGTATTACTGAACACTTCTTTTATTTCCAATAATATGTTTGTCAATGGCCAATAATTTGATTCAAACAGATCTTAAATGAACATTTCAGATCCTTCAAAGACTGTACCAACTATGGTTGAGTAGATGTTATAATCATCTTAAATGCCTTAATTTCATCATAAAACATATTCAATCATAATGTGTTCAAAAATTGTTGGTACCACCAGAATTGTTCAGGCACCAACAGTGTAAGAATAAACCCGATTTATGAATTGTGTTTAGCAACTGCCTATGGTTCAGAAATGCAAGACCCTATATGCTATATGTCAATATTATTTGGGAAGATTCAATATTACATGTTTGTTTCTAGTCTGTAGCTTTACAGGACAATTCTTTGTGAAAACTACAACACATTCAATATTTGGAAAATAAAATAAAATATTTGAAATATGATTCATGCTGCCATCTTTTTCCCATTTTCAGCATACACAACATTTTACATTGTGGGACTGGTTCTGTCAATGCAGATTCCCTTCGTTGGGTTTCAGCCAATCAAAACTAGTGAACACATGGCATCAGCCGGTAAGTATGTTATTGTGTGGAGTAGTTGTATATCAGCGGGTGAGGGGCAAGTGGTGGTAGGGGAGATTACCGTTACATTGTGTAAGTCAGCTAGGGGAGATAACTGTTACAGTGTGTAAGTCAGCTAGGGGAGATTACAGTTACATTGTGTAAGTCAGCTAGGGGAGATAACTGTAACAGTGTGTAAGTCAGCTAGGGGAGATTACAGTTACATTGTGTAAGTCAGTTAGGGGAGATTACAGTTAAATAGTATAAGTCAACTTCATTTTTTATTAGATTTTCATCAAATTTATACCTCTGATGGATTTGTATTTCGAGGGCAACGTCTATGTCATTAGCTTTTTATAGGTCAATCACAGGGCCTAGGGGGCGGCATTCAGGTCTAACAGATATTTTCTAGCTTTCCTTTGAAAGCCTAAGCCTCTTGAATATATCTCAACCAGATTTGTTCTGGAACATCACTTGGTCAAATTGGCCCAATTTTGTACAAAGGTTGTGGACTCCTGGGGCTTGAAGAGAAAGGCCTATTAGTGGAAATAGAGATCAACCTTTAACAGAGTACTCTTATTTTAGCACAATAGTAAGCTATTGCAATCGAGAACTTCTGAAGTACAACCAAATTTGGTTGGAAGTATTCCTTGGTGATGTTGACTTTGATTTGCAAAAGAAAAGGGGTTGATCCCTTTCATGGGCCTATGAAGGGCAAGAGGGGAGAAATGTTTTGGTAACTTAAAGTTATTGTATAGCAAAAGATAAGCTTTTCCATCATGAATAAATGTTGAAAACCTTTTTTTCCTGACATACTTAAAAATATCATTATGACTCAGCAATCTACTTCTTCAACAAATCAGATGACTGTAAATTTATGTAGTGTACCTAAGTCTTGTCTGAACTTTAACAAACATCTGTGGGTTGTTTTTCCTGATCTGATGCCCTTAAATAAGTTACCTGGTTAGTGGAGGAGTTATCTTTCTTGTTGCGCTGTAACTCTCACATGAAGAATTGCTATGGTATATAACTTCCAGTAAAGATATGACTTTGAGTTTCTGTGTCCTCAGGTGTGTTTGCTCTGCTGTATGCCTATGCCATCCTGAGGTATGTTCAGTCCTTCCTCACCAAGGCCGAGTTCAAGCTCTTCTTCTTCCTATCTGCCGCGGCAGCAGCTGGAGTAATCTTCTTGTCAGTCGTTGGACTCACCTGGGCAGGTAAGCTAACCAGCTATTAAACTAATGGACAGGTACATAGAAAGAAACAACCTGTAAGCTTGTATTAACAGGCCCTGAACATGGTCCCACTGTAGACATCTCTGTAAATTACACTTCGTGTACTTCCCCCCTCCCCCTCCCTCCATCCAATAAGACACCCCATCCCTTCCCAAAAACAAGTGCAAAACCAGAATAATATTTTAAAAAACAAAAAACGAAATAGGACAAGATGACTAATTAATGTTTCAAATTTCAGACATTGTAGGAAAGAGACTACTGAAATATTTAAACATAAGTTCTATTGTCAGTATGTAAGTTATCGTTGAGGTATACACCTCGAGAGATGTGCTTGTGTTGTTAGTGTAAGTAGAACACCAACCTGGGAGACACCTGTTGTTTGATGTTTGTAGGTTACATCCATCCCTGGAGTGGGCGGTTCTATTCGCTGTGGGACACTGGCTATGCCAAGATCCACATTCCCATCATAGCTTCTGTGTCGGAACACCAGCCCACCACATGGGTGTCCTTCTTCTTCGACCTCCACATCCTAGCTTGTGCCTTCCCCGTGGGCGTGTGGTACTGCATCAAACATATCAATGATGAGAGAGTGTTCGGTAAGTACTACCCTATAACTCTGTATACCACATTGGTCCCTGGTGAGTATAGCTCACTGTTTGGTAAGTACTACCCTATAACTCTGTATACCACATTGGTCCCGGGTGAATATAGCTCACTGTTTGGTAAGTACTACCCCATAACTCTGTATACCACATTGGTCCCTGGTGAGTATAGCTCACATTTTGGTAAGTACTACCCCATAACTCTGTATACCACATTGGTCCCTGGTGAGTATAACTCACTGTTTGGTAAGTACTAACCCATAACTCTGTATACCACATTGGTCCCTGGTGAGTGAAGCTCACTGTTTGGTAAGTACTACCACATAACTCTGTATACCACATTGGTCCCTGGTGAGTATAGCTCACTGTTTGGTAAGTACTACCACATAACTCTGTATATCACACTGGTCCCTGGTGAGTATAGCTCACTGTTTGGTAAGTACTACCCCATAACTCTGTATACCACATTGGTCCCTGGTGAGTGAAGCTCACTGTTTGGTAAGTACTACCACATAACTCTGTATATCACACTGGTCCCTGGTGAGCATAGCTCACTGTTTGGTAAGTACTACCACATAACTCTGTATACCACATTGGCCCATGTTGAGAGTAAAGCTCACTGATCACAAACAATTCATGGCAAACCAATTGTGTTATTTATTTGTACACATTATTTTTCATCAAAAAGAAACTTTATGTATTACATTATATTTTGGTGAAAACCTACACAGTTATTTATTTCACTGAAAGTGAAGATGCTTCTCAATTTGTTATACACATTTTGGGACACATTCATTTTTATAGACTTGATAAATGGTTTTGTCCTTGATTCAGTAAAATAAAAACCAGTTACAATCATTTATTGACTCTGTGATATTACTTGCAGTGGTGCTGTATGCCATATTTGCCAGCTACTTTGCGGGTGTTATGGTGAGACTCATGCTAACTCTCACCCCCATCGTGTGTGTCCTTGCTGCCATTGCCTTCTCCAAAACGTTTGATATCTACCTGAAGGATGATGTGCCTAAATCAAGTGTCAAAGAGACTGAGAAGAAAACACTGGATAATAAAAATGATACTCTATATGATAAGGTATGTCATTGGTATTTCATTGTTACCGTTTTCACGCAGTCTGTGGAGGTGTCGGTCTTACGACGTGTAGGACTAGTTCCATACTATGTCATGTGTTAAGCCCTTAGGTTTATGTCTGTTGAAAAAAAGCTTTTCAGTCATTAGTTATATGAGTTAACCTACACAACCCCAGTGTCATCAAACTATGTCATTTAGTCAGTTATTATCTTAGCTGATCCCAAGGACCAAGGTGATCTTATGCTTTACCATGGCCTCTGTTTTCTGTCTATCAATTTATTCAATTAAACCACAGAATTTTACTTAATTTGGCTGGAAACATCCTTAGGTTGTAGGGATTCCAAATGGAAAACAAATGGCTGCCCCCAAAAGGGATTGAGGGGTGGGGCATACATTGGTTATAAGGGATTGAGGGGTGGGGCATACATTGGTTATAAGGGATTGAGGTGTGGGGCATACATTGGTTATAAGGGATTGAAGGGGTGGGGCATACATTGGTTATAAGGGATTGAGGGGTGGGGCATACATTGGTTATTAGGGATTGAGGGGTGGGGCATTAGAAGACAAACACAATCATCCTATAAGAGTTGGTTCCATGGTCTGGACCTGCCCCTGGGTACTTGGTCCATTGGTCGTAACACAGAAATGGTTGAGATTAATCCCACCTATATCCATATACACAGTTGCTTGGTTTACACTCGTGATATTCCCTTGGGGATTTAGTCATTTGGTTATCACTTACAAAAACTGGTGTCTTTATGCAGGTAGTCTTTCATCTAACATTAGAAATAGCCTCAAACAATGGATGGTTGCAATGGCCCCAAAAAACATGTATGTATATGTTTCAGGTATCGGAACCAACCCTAACAATTTTATCTCACTCAAATGCACTCAAATGTCCCATTTGAACATGCCGGAAATTGTAAGCATTTTCATGGCACCTCACCTTTTCATTGGCCAGGATCAAAACTGAATTTAAATCCCATATTAATATTTAAAATACCTAAAAATATTGTGAAAAATGAATGCAATTGGTCTGAATAACTATGTTTGGGGATTTTTGGTGGGTGGGCATGCATGATTACTTAAATATCCAGGTAAGAGATACAGGCCATCCAGGCCTCTTGTATAGGACACTGAACCTACTACAACTGTTGTATATACACTGACTTTAGTTGTATCCCTCGTTACACAGGCTATTGAGTTTATTTAACTTTTGCTAGGAAAACAGGCACAGCGTATGGTGTGTATCATAAGTTCAACCTTTTTCCTTTGGGATATCTTTTTGGTCCTTGGCTGAATATGTATAGAAGTAGGGTGTTACGTGAACTAGCTGGGTATCTTAGTGCCCGGGGTTTACCTCTGTGCTCCACACAACAGACCAACCATTGAGTGTCTATTTTATTTCAGCTGTGGAAGCCATGTCAGATGAAATCTCTTACTTACGCTTGGGTTGTAAGATCTAGTATACAAGTCTTACAACTCCTTTTCTTAAAACAATAGAAAAGATATTAATAGGAGACAAAGTGGAAATGACAAAATCATTATTTCTATGTAGGTGGGTAAAACGAAGAAGGTGAAGGAGGAGAAGCCCAAGGACCAGGATGGTCTGGGGATGAACGTGAAGACCATCATTGTGATTGCCCTGCTCATGCTGCTCATGTTGTTTGCGGTGCACTGTACATGGGTAACCAGCAGTGCCTACTCCAGCCCCAGCATTGTCCTGGCCTCCTACAACCATGACGGGTAGGTTTTACATAACTTGTTATTCTAAGCTCCACTGCTATAGCTCTCCCCCTGACTACACACAACTCACCCCTTGGTTGTATACATATAGCTCATACTAAACATTTTGAACAATTCTTCAAATTTAACAATTGTAACCATGTTACATTTCATTAAAGACCTCACAATCGTGGAACTGATGAGTTTTGTAAATAAGAAAAGAATATATCAAAGCTGCATACGTTGCTTTGTTAGAAAAATTATCCTTTATAGTTTTCACTGAATTCTGGAATTTAAAAAAAACCTTTCTTTAGATTTCACTCTGATTAATTGTTCTCAATTAATGTTATATTAGATTTCAATCAGTGATTTATGCTTCATTGATTATTAGAGTTGATGTAGCACTTAAATTGGTCCTATTGCACTGTCATGGCAGATTTGTTAAAAAAAAACCCACTAGACATTAAAAGAGATTTGGGAACTTTAATCATATTAAAAATCTATTTCTGAGTCTGGTTTCTCAAAATCCATTTGTAAACAGGATATGAAATTAATTGTAGTGATAGACACCATCTTTAAACAGATGTTGATCAATTGGTTATATTGTTATAGGATCAGAATGAATCCAAACAGATGATATCTTTAACAGAGGAAAACAGCTGTGTATTATTTCATTGACACTTGTTTAAGGCTTTCTGACAGCTTGTGACGTCAGCTTTAGAATCTGGTCTCATGATTTTATCCATTTTCTCATTTTGTTTACAGAAGTAGGACAATACTGGATGATTTCCGTGAAGCCTACTACTGGCTGCGTCAGAACACCCATGACAAAGCGAGGATTATGTCTTGGTGGGATTATGGGTATCAGATAGCAGGCATGGGAAATCGGACAACGCTCGTGGATAACAACACTTGGAATAACAGCCATATAGCACTGGTGACTTGATCAACTTTAATCCCTCCCCCTTACTAAATTGTTTTTTTTCTGTGATTTTATACTTGGTTCTCGTAAAAAAGCTAAGTACACTGTGAACCAAAATGAAAAGAAAAGAAAATGTCTTTAACTTTCTTTGTAGATGTAATCATGCTTAGTATATGTATTAATACTAAATAAGGCTTTTCATGCCCAAAAAGTTGAAAAAATTATATATTCCAGTATATCTATTTTTTTCTGTGTTTTTTTTCAAAATGGTACGTAATTATGTAGAATCAAGCTTTGAGTAATTGTAATAAAGCATGCATAAGGTCTGTTATTTCACAAAATAAAAGTGTGTTTTAAACTTCCGTTTTTTTTCATGGTTACATAGAGCTTGTGCTTTTTATTTTTCTCAATGGTTTGGTGTAGAATTCCCTGGTTGTAAAACCCTAGTTTTTAACATTAGATTGTTACTGTTTGTTATAGGTGGGGAAAGCTATGTCTTCAACAGAGCCAGAGGCTTACAAGATCATGAGAGCATTAGACGTGGATTATGTGCTTGTCATCTTTGGTGGAGTTATTGGGTACTCGGGGGATGATATCAACAAGTTCCTGTGGATGGTTAGGATTGCTGAGGGCGAACATCCCAAGGACATCAAGGTAATTTGGACAGATCATTCTGTAGTATTATACTTTTATGTGACTTGCAATTGGCAAGCATGGTATATTGCAGCCTCTTTCGTCCGTCCATATCAAATTCTTTTCTTTGAAGAAAACTGACATACCCAGGGTCCTGATATTTGACCAGTAGGTACCTCTGATGGAGTGCTTTAAAAGTTTCCTCATATAAATGACCTTGAACTACTTTCAAGGTCATAGCCTCATAGGGGTCAAAATATTAAAAATCTCAAACAATCTTTTCTTAACAATGAGGATGTTTGGGACAATGATACTTCAGTATATGTAGAACAGCTGTGTAAATCATTATCTAACATTATGTTTAGGTCAAAGGTCAACTTTGAGTGCTGTTTGTGGTCAAATTTAAACATCGGTTAAACGCTTTAAGGATCTTCTAAATTCCATAAGACCCAGGGTCCTGACATTCGGCCATTAAGTACCTGGCATGGAATAATTCAACATTTCATCATCAAGGCCACCAGGATCAAATATGTTAATAACTTCAAGTAAAATTTTCCTAACAACCAAAACATCTAGAACACTTGGGTATGATATGTAGGCCAGCAGTGAGAATATTTTTCTAGCATATTGTGGTGGGTTCAAAGGTCAGCTTTTTTGAGTGTTTTCAGGATCAAAAAAACAACATCAGCTATAATGAGTAAAAAGCTTTTAGAATAATTTTCTCAAATTCTATAGTGCAAAAGGTTCTGATGTATGGCCAGAAGGAACCTGGCATAGAGTGCTTTAAATCTTCTTCATAGAAATAAAATTGACTCACTTTCTAGGTCAAATAGTTTAAAACTCAAAAAATTCTAAATAACAAGAGGGTCTAGAGCACTTAAAGTAACATCCCTTTTTGATGTCTGTTGATAAATTTTTTCATTGATTTGCAGGAATCTGACTACTTCACACCGCAAGGAGAGTTCCGTGTAGACTCGGCAGGGTCCAAGGTCTTGCTCAATTGTCTCATGTACAAGTTGTCTTACTACCGATTTGGGGAGCTTCAGGTAAGACTCACCCACCTATCTAGGAACTGGTAAGGCAGTGATACAGCAGTTATTGTACCCGTTATAATTATTCTCCTGCTATGTAAAGCAGGGATAGTATGTGTTTCTCCTGTCTGTCCATCACCTGTATGCACAAATATCCTGTACTAAAGAATTCAGAGATACGGCCTGACACATGCATCAATGGAGTTTAATTGATTCATTCCTTTATCCTATACCACTGGCACTGTGTATTAGGATGTTCACTCTTAAGTACCATCTGTGAGTATGCAGGTCCCTCTGTCGGTCACATTCTTTGGCACCAATGTGGAAACCTTTCCCTGTTTTCAGCAAATTGTTCAAAAAGTGTTCAAAGAGCAAATGAAAAAAATGAACTGAGCATGGAAGAAAAATCTCCTAATTGAGACCTGTACAATCACCAATATGACCACCCAATGTGAATTAATCTTGTTTTGACATTATATTTGTAGCTGGACTTCCGGAGTCCTGCTGGGTATGACAGGACAAGAGGAGTAGAGATTGGTAACAAAAACTTTGATCTGACCCACATGGAGGAAGCGTACACCACTGAGCACTGGCTTGTTAGGATTTACAAGGTCAAGGACCTCCAGAACCGCGAACGTGTACTCGACCAAAAAATGCCCAAAATCAAAACTAATAAGAAAAAACATTCCAAAAAGGTAAGCATAAAACATAATCAATTTCAATTTACAGTTTAAATCAAAAGCAATTTTACTTTTTTTTCAAATACATAGGTGAAAAAATTCCCTGGTAATTTTAAGGGATTTGCACACATCCAGTTTTATTTACTCACCTGGCCAAATTGAGCTTATGGGATGGTGGGGCATCCATTATCAGTCCTTACTGCATCACTTTTCAGCTCACCTGCCCCAAAGGCCTAGGGTGATGACATTTGACCAATAGCATGTAAATAAAATATTTAAAAGACTTTCTCTGAAAAACCCAGAGGCCAAGGATATGGGATGATGGGCTGCAAAGATTTCTTTCAAATGGATGACCTTGACAAACTTTCAAGGTCACATTGATCAAAACGTGCTCACACATTACAGTGTCTTCTGTTCAAGAACCTATAGGCTCATATTCATGATATATTATACTGATAGTATGTTACAGTAAATGGCTATTAAATTTGTTCAAATGAAATACTTTTATCAACTTTCATTGTCACATTGTTCAGTTTTGTAAAAACAACTTTGTCTGAACAACCCAGGGTTAAGTTCATGTTACTTCTTTAATTGTAATTGTTTTATTAAGTTTTAGAGATGACAATTTCAACCTAACACCTTTTAGATTCATAAAAAAAATCTCATTTTTTTTTAATCTATCTTTTCAGACCAGCAAAAGAAAAACAGGTTTCATTAAAAACAAGCCGAAGGTGATAAAGGGCAAGAAACCAAAATCCAAGGGAAAGAAATAGGAGGGAAATGTGAGGCAAGAATTTGTTGCGAGTGTGTACATAACGTGCAAAACTGGGAGCACATTGCTGAATATGCCATTGCTCGTCACAGAATCAAGTGGGCAGGCAGATCATTCATATTGTGATTATATACATTTAGTGGGTGAAATCAGTTTACATGTGTCTTGTGACAGGAAATTGATTTACATGTGATCATGTGACAGGAAGTTGATTTACACGTGATCATGTGACAGCAAATCTATTTATGTGCATTTGGTGTTGGAGGATAACTATGAACATTGAACTTGCAACAGAGGTCCAAAATAAACGTCCATATTGAATGGACAGGGGAGGGAACTTGTGTTGGATTTTGTCGTGTGTGCGTTTGTGTTGCTCTCTGTTTGGGCCATACCAGACAGTGATCTTGGATCATTGCCAAACTCACTCATATCATAGTTGTTCAAGTTTTTGTTGAAAGGTTCTTTAAAGTTTTGGAATATAGTGTAAATGAATGTCAGGGAAATGAAACGTTTTTTTTTATAAAGTAGCATACTTTTATGCCTCATATAATTTGAAGAAATTAAGTAACATTTATTTTGTTGGGTTTACTGTAAAATATAATAAATATGAATCCTAAACAAGTTTTAAAAATGATTGTAGACACGAGAACTGTTAGAGAGCCTGTATCGTATAGATGTTGTGTTGTTGTAAGGTGTGTGTGGGGGTGAATTATACATGCATTATGTGTTCTTTGTTCTTTATGTTGTTATGTTATTAAAATACTGTTCACTAGCTTGACATATTCCACATTTTTGATAGATGATCATACGTGTAATTTATTTTTTTGAAAGTGAAATGAAAAGAAAGACAATGATTTGTTTGAGTTAAAAAAACAAAAACCGGCTGCGTCCGTCATCTCGCTTATTTTTTTATTCGTGTGATTTGTTTTGGCTGAAGTTAAAGATTGTGTATAGAAAATAATTTATAGACAGTAATAGAATTAACTGTTTTATCTTAAAGGAAAAGCACTTCAAATAAGTCTATACCGTTTGATACCAGTATAATTCAATCTTGAGACAGATAGGAGTTCTTTGATAGTCAACAAGCCTACAGCAATGCTTGTAGTTTACATCTGATGTCCTGCTAGAATGTTTTAATGAAACACAGGGAATTCCCAGCCACGTTAATGTAACACAGGGAATTCCTAGCCACGTTAATGTAACACAGGGAATTCCCAGCCACGTTAATGTAACACAGGGAATTCCCAGCCACTTCAATGTAACACAGGGAATTCCCAGCCACTTTAAAATGTATATTGCATGTGAAAAACGAAGATTGAGGTGAAAGAATTTATGTATGGATTTCATATGATTTTGCTTGTGGGTATGTCATATAAACTCTGAATGTAGCTGACAATTGAATGTGGGCTGTATTTGAGGTGCATTTCTTTTTTAGTTATAAACAGTATATATAATTTATGGATCTACATTATCAAGTGCTGTCATGTCTTAACAGACTTATAATTAATATTTTTTAATTTGCATTCCTTCAAATGTAAACCCTGATGATATTTATGGAGTAATATATTACATATGTCCTTACTACAACACTCTATTGTGTTAGTAGGTCCTTTGTTTTACTCATCAACCCCACCAAATACAAATGTAGTATCATTGTAGACCTCAGCCTAGTCTGAACAGGACACACTGTACAGAATATATCTACTGCCAAGTTCAAGAAAACCATGTGCACAACCTGTGTCAGGAATATCCAATCTACTAATATATTTAGTCACGTTGTGTATGTTTGCATTAAGACTCTTACGTGACTCTAAATGGAAGAACACGTTCAATTTGTAGCTAGAATTAGATTTGAAATCCTCCCCTGAATGAGTTTGAAGTAAAGAGAACTTGTACATGTATGAAATAGTGCAATGGAATAAACATTAGAAGTTTCAATATTTTACTGATTTGATGCATGGAGTCCAGCAAGCTGGCCTTGTTTTCTAGTCATAAAACACCTGTAAATGATCCTTTGTATTGCCTATGTCGCAAAAGACATTATAATTTTCATGTAACATCATCGTGTATGTAACATGTTTGCACTTGGCACAATCATTGTTGGATGCTGAGCCTTGTTAATCTGGACCCTTCATTCCCAGCTAGAGTGACTGTAATGCAAACGAGCTGGATCACTGGGACAATTTCAAGTAGAGGAACAATAGTAATCTGTCCCCAAAAACTAGCTGGATAGAGGAACACCTGGATCAATGTGCTTGATTAAAGGGGATTGACTATATACATGTAATATATGGAGGTCTTTAACTAAAACTAAAATTATATCAGTCATTTATCAAAGTATTTATCATGAGGTATGTAAACCTGAACTTCTTATATAGGTTATGTGAATGTAACTCTTTATGTTTAGGTCACCTGGCACTTAAATGATGCAATGAGGTGTCGCCTGTCGTCAATCTAGTATCAACCTTTCCTATAACATCTTCTTCTTAAGAATGATAAGGCTTAATGTAAAGCTGATTGGCCATGCTGCGACAAAGGGCTATCAAGTTGCTCTAACGAATGACTTTGTCAAATTTCCAAGGTCATTGGGTCAAATGTGCTTAAATCTCATTTTGACTTGTTTTGAACATCAAGAGCCCTTTGGAAATAATCATGTTGGGCTGAAGATCAAGAGCTGTCAACTTTCTTCAAACGGATGACCTTGATATGCTATTGAGGTAATATATAGAGGTCTTTAAATAGAGTTAAAAACACATCAGGCAAGCACAAATACTATAAACAGCTTACCTGATATATGACTAAATTCCGAGAATTTAAAGTGTTAAAATGTTCTTAGTATTATCGGACATTTTTCCTGGGTCAGTTGTGTTTTGGCAAACAAGCATTATTTTATTTTAGGTCTTAAAGATATCAAAATAACCAGGGCCCTGGGGGTCCTACTATGCGGCCTTAAGGCCTTAAGCATGATGATGTGAAGGGCTATCATATTTGTTCAAAGAAGTACCTTGGCCACTGTAAAGTCACAGGTCTAAGATGTTAAAATCTTAAAAACAATTTTGTCTATCCATGATATTTAATCAAAAGGGTGAGTTGTGTGAAAACATTCAACAACTTCTTTTAAAGGCCTGAGGAGTGTAAACGTTTGGCCTGTGGCTTGCTGTGATGACCTACTATTCAGATGGGTTCAAATAAATGACCTGGACCAACGTTGAAGGCCACATGAGTAGAAGTAGTCAAATCTTCCAACAAAGGTGCATCACCTGAAGAGTAATGCTTTTTATGGTGTATTTTTAGCTTGCTTGTTCTCAAGTTTGTTGGAATAAATTAACTTTCATCCATTTAGAAAATTGAGTAACAAACAGTACTGTATAACATTTGAGTGATAAAGGCACTTTTACCTTCCCTCTTGTAAGAGTAACCAAAAACATTGCGTATGCTTTCTTTAAATGATAGATTTAATGTCCGTTTGCATTTATTTTTTAAAATTGTATTTTTCTTTGTAATTGCCAGATTGATTGCAGTAAAATTCTGATAGGGATTCTTGGTAAACTCTTCTTTGGTAGACTTAATTATTCACAGTGAGAAAGTTAATGGTGGGTGCTTGGTGAAATTATGACTGGAATGTTTGGGGGGAAAAAAGTGAGATTGTTTTACAGACATCATGAAATCAAGGTTTATATATATATATGTACTAAATTTGTCTCCATGTTGAAGAGTTCAGTAGACCTCAATAAATGATTTTGCAAAAGTCTAAGTTTGTGTCAGAGAGTTTTGTATTCATTCAGCTAACCTTTATCAGTATCAGTAGATGATCTATAGATTGTCTGTTTTCCTCTTTCTGAAATGCTGTACCTGCCACAGGTAATGATTGAATTCATTAGCAGATCTTCTTACTGAAGACAAAGACTGATTGGGTTTGGTTTTCTGTTTATGCACCATAAGTATAATGCTGTCCTGATTTGATGTGAAATAGAGAGTAACAAAATAAATGAAAATTGCAAAAGAAATTTGAAAGTAATATTTCATTTGAGATAAATGTGAAAAACTGATTTTTTAGCCCACCATCATCAGATCAATTTTTGTTTGTGCTATTTATCGGAAAATACTGAAAGGATCTTTCACATCTTTCACAAATTTCACATGAAGGTTCCCCATGGTCCCTAGTTAAGCATATTGTTTTTTGGGACTGATCACAAAACCAAGAATATTCGACATGCACTTTCACCTCCTTAGAGGTTCATCAGGGGAAATCTTAGTACCTCCCTAGCACTTTCACTTCTTCATAAAGGCTAACAGGGGAAATCTTAGTACCTCCCTAGTGCTTTCCCCTCTTAAGAGGTTCATCAGGGGAAATCTTAGTACCTCCCTGGCGCTTTCACCTCCTTAGAGGTTCATCAGGGGAAATCTTAGTCCCTCCCTAGTGCTTTCCCCTCTTAAGGGGTTCAACAGGGGAAATCTTAGTACCTCCCTAGCACTTTCACCTCTTTATAAAGGCTAACAGGGGAAATCTTAGTACCTCCCTAGTGCTTTCCCCTCTTAAGGGGTTCAACAGTGGAAATCTTAGTACCTCCCTAGCACTTTCACCTCTTTATAAAGGCTAACAGGGGAAATCTTAGTCCCTCCCTAGCGCTTTCACCTCCTTAGAGGTTCATCAGGGGAAATCTTAGGACCTCCCTAGCACTTTCACCTCTTTATAAAGGCTCATCAGGGGAAATCTTAGTACCTCCCTAGCACATTCACCTCTTTAGAGGTTCATTAGGGGAAATCTTAGTACCCCCTAGCGCTTTCACCTCTTTAAAGGTTCATCAGGGGAAATCTTAGTACCTCCCTAGTGCTTTCCCCTCTTAAGGGGTTCAACAGGGGAAATCTTAGTACCTCCCTAGCACTTTCACCTCTTTATAAAACAGGGGAAATCTTAGTACCTCCCTAGCGATTTCACCTCTTTATAAAAGCTAACAGGGGAAATCTTAGTTCCTCCCTAGCACTTTCGCCTCTTTATAAAGGCTCATCAGGGGAAATCTTAGCACCTCCCTAGCACTTTCGCCTCTTTATAAAGGCTCACAGGGTATATCTTAGTACCTCCCTTGCGCTTTCACCTCTTTAGAGGGTCATCAGGGGAAATCTTAGTCCCTCCCTAGCACTTTCACTTCTTCATAAAGGCTAACTTTCCCCTCTTAAGGGGTTCAACAGTGGAAATCTTAGTACCTCTCTAGTGCTTTCCCCTCTTAAGGGGTTCAACAGGGGAAAGCTTAGTACCTCCCTAGCACTTTTACCTCTTTATAAAGGCTCTCAGGGGATATCTTAGTACCCCCCTAGCACTTTCACCTGTTTATAAAGGCTAACAGGGGAAATCTTAGTAACTCCCTAGCACTTTCACTTCTTCATAAAGGCTAACTTTCCCCTCTTAAGGGGTTCAACAGGGGAAAGCTTAGTACCTCCCTAGCAGTTTCACCTCTTTATAAAGGCTCACGGGGGATATATTAGTACCTCCCTAGCGATTTCACCTCTTTATAAAGGTCCATCAGAGGAAATCTTAGTACATCCCTAACACTTTCACCTCTTTAGAGGGTCATCAGGGGAAATCTTAGCACCTCCCTAGCACTTTCTCCCCTTTAGAGATTCATCAGGGAAAATCTTAGTACCTCAATAACACTTTCACCTCTTTAGAGGTTTACTAGCACTTTCACCTCTCTATAAAGGCTCACAGGGTATATCTTAGTACCTCCCTATCGTTTTCACCTCTTTATAAAAGCTAACAGGGGAAATCTTAGTCCCTCCCTAGCACTTTCACTTCTTTATAAAGGTTCATCAGGTGAAATCTTCTTAGTACCTCCCTAGCACCTTCACCTCTTTATAAAGGCTCGCAGGGGATATCTTAGTACCTCGCTAACACTTTCACCTCTTTAGAGATTCATCAGGGAAAATCTTAGTACCTCAATAACACTTTCACCTCTTTGGAGGTTTATCAGGGAAAATCTTAGTACCTCGCTAGCACTTTCACCTCTCTATAAAGGCTCACAGGGGGTATCTTAGTACCTCCCTACCACTTTCACCTCTTTATAAAAGCTAACAGGGGAAATCTTAGTTCCTCCCTAGCACTTTCGCCTCTTTATAAAGGCTCACATGGGATATCTTAGTACCTGCCTAGCGCTTTCACCTCTCTATAAAGGCTCACAGGGGGTATCTTAGTACCTCCCTAGGGGTTTCATCATAGGAATTCTTAGTACCTCCCTAGCTCTATCACCTCTTTATAAAGGTCCATCAGAGGAAATCTTAGTACATCCCTAGCGCTTTCACCCCTTTATAAAGGTTCATCAGGTGAAATCTTCTTAGTACCTCCCTAGTGCTTTCCCCTCTTTAGAGATTCATCAGGGGAATTCTTAGTACCTCCCTAGCACATTCACCTCTTTATAAAGGGTCACAGGGGATATCTTATTACCTCCCTAGCGCTTTTACCTCTTTATAAAGGCTCATCAGGGGAAATCTTAGCACCTCCCTAGCACTTTCGCCTCTTTATAAAGGCTCACAGGGGAAATCTTAATACCTCCCTAGCACTTTTACCTCTTTATAAAGGCTCATCAGGGGAAATCTTAGTTCCTCCCTAGCACTTTCGCCTCTTTATAAAGGTTCAACAGGGGAAATCTTAGTTCCTCCCTAGCACTTTCGCCTCTTTATAAAGGCTCATCAGGGGAAATCTTAGCACCTCCCTAGCACTTTCCCCTCTTTAGAGATTCATCAGGGGTAATCTTAGTACCTCCCTATCGTTTTCACCTCTTTATAAAAGCTAACAGGGGAAATCTTAGTTCCTCCCTAGCACTTTCACTTCTTCATAAAGGCTAACAGGGGAAATCTTAGTTCCTCCCTAGCACTTTCGCCTCTTTATAAAGGCTCATCAGGGGAAATCTTAGTGCCTCCCTAGCACTTTCACTTCTTCATAAAGGCTAACTTTCCCCTCTTAAGGGGTTCAACAGGGGAAATCTTAGTGTTCATCAGGGGAAATCTTAGTCCCTCCCTAGCATTTTCACCTCTTTATAGAGGCTCACAGGGGATATCATACTACCTCCCTAGCGCTTTCCCCTCTTAAGGGGTTCAACAGGGGAAAGCTTAGTACCTCCCTAGCACTTTTACCTCTTTATAAAGGCTCACGGGGGATATATTAGTACCTCCCTAGCTCTATCACCTCTTTATAAAGGGTCACAGGGGATATCTTATTACCTCCCTAGCGCTTTTACCTCTTTATAAAGGCTCACAGGGTATATCTTAGTACCTCCCTAGCATTTTCACCTCTTTATAGAGGCTCACAGGGGATATCATACTACCTCCCTAGCGCTTTTACCTCTTTATAAAGGCTCATCAGGTGAAATCTTCTTAGTACCTCCCTAGCACTTCCACCTCTTTATAAAGGCTCTCAGGGGATATCTTAGTACCTGCCTAGCGCTTTCACCTCTTTAGAGGTTTACTAGCACTTTCACCTCTCTATAAAGGCTCACAGGGGAAATCTTAATACCTCCCTAGCACTTTTACCTCTTTATAAAGGCTCATCAGCGGAAATCTTAGTACCTCGCTAGCGCTTTCACCTCTTTAGAGGGTCATCAGGGGAAATCTTAGCACCTCCCTAGCACTTTCCCCTCTTTAGAGATTCATCAGGGGTAATCTTAGTACCTCCCTAGCTCTATCACCTCTTTATAAAGGTCCATCAGAGGAAATCTTAGTACCTCGCTAGCGCTTTCACCTCTCTATAAAGGCTCACAGGGGAAATCTTAATACCTCCCTAGCACTTTTACCTCTTTATAAAGGCTCATCAGCGGAAATCTTAGTACCTCCCTAGCACTTTCACCTCTTTATAAAGGCTCACAGGGGATATCTTAGTACCTCCCTAGCGCTTTCACCTCTTTATAAAGGTTCATCAGGGGAAATCTTAGTACCTCCCTAACACTTTCATCAGAGGAAATCTTAGTACCTCCCTAGCACTTTCCCCTCTTTAGAGATTCATCAGGGGAAATCTTAGTACCTCCCCAGTGCTTTCCCCTCTTTAGAGGTTCATCAGGGGAAATCTCTGTGCCCCCTTTCACTTTCATCCCTAGCACTTTCACCTCTTTATAAAGGCTCACAGGGAATATCTTAGTACCTCCCTAGCGCTTGCACTTCTTTATAAAGGTTCATCAGGTGAAATCTTAGTACCTCCCTAGCACTTTCACTTCTTCATAAAGGCTAACAGGGGAAATCTTAGTACCTCCCTAGCGCTTTCCCCTCTTTATAAAGGCTAACAGGGGAAATCTTAGTACCTCCCTAGCACTTTCCCCTCTTTAGAGGTTCATCAGGGGAAATCTCTGTGCCCCCTTTCACTTTCACCTTAGCACTTTCACCTCTTTATAAAGGCTCACATGGGATATCTTAGTACCTCCCTAGCGATTTCACCTCTTTATAAAGGTTCATCAGGGGAAATCTTAGTGTTCATCAGGGGAAATCTTAGTACCTCCCTAACACTTTCATCAGAGGAAATCTTAGTACCTCCCTAGCACTTTCACCTCTTTGGAGGTTTATCAGGGAAAATCTTAGTACCTCCCTAACACTTTCATCAGAGGAAATCTTAGTACCTCCCTAACACTTTCATCAGAGGAAATCTTAGTACCTCCCTAGCACTTTCACCTGTAGTACCTCCCTAGCACTTTCACCTGTAGTACCTCCCTAGCACTTTCACCTCTTTAGAGGTTCATCAGGGGAAATTTTAGTACCTCCTCAGCACTTTCATCA